CTTCTTGGGCTTCACCAATTTCTATAGGCAGTTCATTCCCTCCTTTGTGCAGATTGCACTTCCCATTATGAATCTGTTAAAAACCAAGGGGTAGACAAGCCAAAACCTAGCCAGCTACTAAAGTGGAGTATGGAATGCCAAGCCGCATTCAAAAAGTTGAAAAGACTTTTTTCTGTGGAGCCGGTACTGAGGCACCCAGACCCAGAGAGACCATTTGTCATTCAGGCCAACACTAGCGATGTGGCCATAGGTGCAGTACTGCTTCAGGAAAATGAAAAGGGCCAATTGCAGCCCTGCACATACACTTCAAAAAAACTGACAGAGACTGAACAACTCTGGGCAGTGTGGGAAAAGGAAGCCTATGCAGTAAAGTGGGCCTTCCTCACTTAGAGGCATTTTCTAAAAGGGGGTAAATCCCTTTCCAAGTTTTGACTGATCACAAAAACCTAGAAGTGTTGAAAACCCCAAGGAAGCTGTCTCCTAAGCAAGCATGGTGGGCCCAACACTTCCAGCACTTCAATTTTACCCTCTGCCATTTACCAGGAGGAAAAAACTTCCTGGCAGATGCTCTATCGAGACTGCCACCATACAATAGTGTAAAAGCTGAAATAATCAAGCCGTTGCACCCAGCACAGCAATTAGCAGCCCCAGTAATCACGAGGATGCAATCAAAAGGCACCCCATCACCAGACAACACTGTCACCTTGGCCTTTAAACAAGTCCTGGAAAAGGATGGTTTCTTAGTCATAAAAACCTCTGCTGCACGTGGGAGGGGCTAGCATGGGTAGGAGGGAAGCTGTATGTCCCAGCCAGCCATAGACTAAAGACTATGCAAACATGCCATGTGGTGGGACATTTCAGTTTTAAAGAAATAATTTTGGTGGCCTTCTATAAAAAAAGACATCGAAGGTTATATAACTAGCTACTCTATATGTGCAGCAGAAAAATAGAGGTAGGAGAAAATGCCTGGCTTTCTGCAGCTGGTCACAGACCCTTCAGCACCCTGGAGAGAGATTTCTATGAACTTTATCATAAAGTTGCCAGAAAGCATGGGAAACATCCTTATTTGGGTGGTGACAGACCTATTTTCAAAACAGGTCCATTTCATTCCTTGCTAAAAGATCCCAACAGGAAAGACTCTGGCAAAACTGCTCCTCCACCATGTCTACTACCTACATGAAGCCTCATGTCACATAATTTTGGACAGGGGGGGTCCAATTTACTTTGAAATTCTGGAGGACATTTTTGGACCTCCTAGGAATGGATTAGGGCCTGAGTTGTAGTCATCATCCTCAAACAAATGGTGGGACAGAACGAACAAACTCAGTTCTGGAACAGTACCTAAAATGCTTTATCAATTACCAGCAGGACAATTGGACCAACCTACCATTCACTAAAGTAGCTTATAACAATGCTGTTCACTCCTTCACACCTTTTCAAGTGACCACAGGACAAGAGTTCAACCCAATGCCTGAACTGCCAAGTAATGAACCCACAATCTTGTCCCTTAAGGAATGGATGAATCAGCTTCAGAATATTTGTCCAGTTGTCAGAAAGTTGTCTAGATTAGGCTAGAGCAGCCTACAAGGCTCAGGCAGATAAAAAGAGAATGGAACCTAAACCATTCTATATTGGGGACAGAGTATACCTATCTACTAGGTTCCTGCAATCCCTACAACCCTCTAAAAACTGGGCCCAAAATTTGTGGGACCCTTCCCAGTCAAACACATTATAAACCCAGTCACAGTGGAGTTGGAACTCCTCAAAGCCCTAAGGCAAATCCATCCTGTATTCCACTACAGTCTCCTAAAGCCTGAAATAACCTCACCTTTAAGGCCAGTAACTCGCAGCACCACATCCCATCATGGTAGAAGTTGAACAACACTTTGGAATTAAGGAAATTCTGAACTCACACAGGCATCATGGAGTCACCCAGTATTTGGTGGCCTGGAAAGACCTCCCAGCATCCCAAAACGAATGAGTTCACAAGAAACATGTTACAGCCTCTAGGTTACTCAAATGTTGTCATGCATGTTGCCCAGATAAACCTGATTAACCAATGGATTTTCTTTCTCCACTTTATTATTTTCTGTTCCTCCAGATGGATTTTTCCTTCTTTTAAGGGGGGTGGTGGTATGGCAGGTCCCTCAGATCATTATCGGGATGCTACCATTCTGTTGGGAGGTGGGAATTTGTGGGTTCTGGGATGTTGTTTTTTTTTACTTTGTTCTACATTTTGGTGTATCTCTTTGGGTATGAAAGGGGGGAGGAATATCTATACCCTGAAGAGGCTATATTAGAACCTTACATTGACTTTTCAAAAATGAATAAAATTGTGGAACAAGGAATAATAGAAGAGAGATTGAGTAACCCTGAACAGGCTTTTATATATCAAGATATACAATTTGAAGAGTCAGAGCAATTTAATTGTGAATCTATACTGGGACTAAATGTGGAAACTATTAGGCAAA